GGAGCTTTGAGGCTCAGTGTGACTGTCACCAAGCAATGATCAGTAGTGGCTGAAGTATTTACAATGCAGCTTTTAATAAAGTTCTTGTTTGTTGTTAGTGCCACATCGATTAGCATCACAGATGTATCAGTGGTCCTTGTTGGTTGTGTAACGAGCTGTGAGAGATTAAGAGATTAAGTGAATCTCAGAGATCCATCAAAGCTAGGCCCTCAGGGCAAGGAGAGCCCAGCAAAATGTCTGCATTCAGGTAGCCAGTAACCATGACTTCCATTCCTAGAAGAGGTGAGTCCATATAAGAGGCAGTAAAATCGTCCAAGAATCTAGACATGGCCACTGAGTCTGGCCTGTACGCAGCACACAGTAGAAAAGATTTTGATTTCCTGCACTAGACTTTAAGCCAAAGTTGTTGGGAATTAGCATCCGTAGTTGTTGACAAGTTATCGATGCTTGATGCTTGAAATGAGTTTCTGATGTAAACAATGATCCCGCCCCCAGATTTATGCGGACCTCTATCCTGCCTGAAAATGACATAACCAGGAGTTTGGAGGTCGTTATTAGTCGTGGAGGGGTCCAGTCAGGATTCAGAGATGTCAAATGGATCATAATTATCATGAACAATCATTTGCTCGACCAGGTAGAACTTTTTGTGTGAAGCCATTGAGTAGACATTAAGATGAGCGATAGTAACGTTGATCTTTCTGCTCTTTGGTTTTTTCCCCAAAGAACTAGGAGGCCCAGGGTTCAGTTCAAGGTCATGGATAAGTAGAAGGACAGGATGGAATGTGCAGACCGAATTGCAGTACAAAAGCATCGGGGCACAAGCTCTTTTCACCTTAATCACCACTTGGGCTAATATCCACCGCTATGTTGGAATGAGAAAGTTCGGTTGACGAGTGACGTTTCTGGCCACAGTACCATCCAAAGCCTCGCATATTTCCGCAGAAATCAGTGTTTTTTCGTTGTTGGAATGATATCTTATCCCTGAGTCACTTCTGGTGTAATGAGGGAGCAGGGTAAGGCAAAAAGAATAGGAGTATTCGAAAGCATGAAAACTGCTTTGCAACAGGCTGTGTGAAAACAAGAAAGAAGACAGATTGAAGAGAGAGTCATGCTACTTCTGTAAAGGCCCTTACTTTGCTGATGCATGCAGAGTTTATAAGGATAAGGCAAAAAGAATAGGAGTATTCGAAAACATGAAAACTGCTTTGCAACAAGCTGTGTGAAAACAATAAAGAAGACAGATTGAAGAGAGAGTCATGCTACTTCTGTAAAGGCCCTTACTTTGCTGATGCATGCAGAGTTTATAAATCTGGCGCTCCCGGAAAGAATGCAGTTCCTACGCATGAGAGGTCTCTGTTACGGATGTCTTAGGTGGGGTCACCTTTGTAAAGACTGTCAACTAAAGAAGAGCTGTGCTGCATGCAATGGTCTTCATACAACCCTATTACACAACAACTCCCTCACAAAGGACAAGCAAGACACCAATGGGAAATTTCCTGAAGCCACCTCTCACCGAATAGAAGTATCCAATTCAAAGAAACGTGCTGAATGCTATTCACACTCTCTTATCATACCGGTGTGGCTTCGTCATAAGCAAGACCCTCAAGACAAAGAACTTGTCTATGCCCTTCTGGATGATCAGTCAGACGCTTGCTTCATTAAGGACAGTTCTGGAAAAACTGTGAGTAAATGGACCTCAAGTTCAGCTAAAGTTATCAACGGTCCTGGCAGAAGAAGTTGTCACGTGTAAGAAGCAGCTTGAATGTACAAGGCCTTAATGAAGACACCAGCATTCGCTCACCAGGGGTGTACTCGCACAGAGGTATTCCAGCCATGCGAGGGCAAATCCCAAGACCAGAGACAGCACACAATTGGCCCCATCTCATACCTATAGTGGACCAGCTTATGCCTTACAGAGAAGGTATCAAAGTTGGGCTGCTTATAGGAACCAACTGCATGCATGCTATCAAACAGATGGAAGTGATACCCAGAAAGGAAGATGACCCATATGCAAGAAAGTCTGCCCTTGGATGGGGTGTTATTGGCATCGTTAACCCAACCAAGAATGAAGAAGATGACAGCCACTGTTCCTGTCACTGTATCGCCTCTTTGGAAGTCAACCTTGAGTTTGATGAAAGAAGGAGGGTTCTTGTTGGTTACACAAAGGAAATTGATATTGATTATATAAGAACAAATCTTGTACCAAAGCCTTTGGAACTAAAACAAAGAATGATTAAAGATGCTGACATTCAATTATTACAACTGTTCATAGAAAGGCCAGCCTTCCTGTCCATCTATTATCAAGCAGCAGATCAAACTAGAAAGGAAGTGCTGGCTGAAGTTGAAGGAATTTCTGAACATTTTCAACCTGTATCGCCTGTCTACAAGCTCAGTCAAAGTCCAGTTATCCTATCTTAATTTCCCAATTGCAGCTGTACGTCATGCTGTGAGTCTTGCCTTGACCAAGGGAAAGTTTGTCATGAATGTAAAGAAAAATGACTTTCAAACAGTTGAACCGTGGCTCCACCCTTCTGAGAAAGGCTCATCTAATGGCGAAAAGTGCGTCAAGTTTGTCATAACCAATATTCATCAAACTGTGTGCGAAAAAAAAAACAGCGTTAGGCCATAATGACACAGTTTTCAGTTTTCATTTTTTATCCCCCCCAAACCCTGCACCTTAAGTTAAGGCCTAAAGGGAAGAAGCCTGGGTCCACCACTGGTTTCTCTCAACCTCCATGCCAGACAAATGACTTGAGGTATGAGAACTCAAATATTTATCTTGGTTTTTTCAGTAGGTCATCACCCTTTAATACAATATCTACTTTATTTTTATAGGAAATCTGCAGAAATCAATCCAGTCTCTAAGCAGTTGTTCCAGGCAACAAAACCTATTGCTGCTTTGTCAACATTAGTTTGATAGTCAAAGGGTTTCCATAAGAAGTCGTGTCCACTCCACCATCTGTGGCTGTTTGCCAGCTCTTGGGCACTTAAACCCTCGAGAGGCCTTGTCTGCAGGATTTACCTTTGTATCCAGTCTTCTCCACTGATGTGGTTCAGAGTACTCCCGAATGCACGGAACTCAATCAGCGACAAAGATATGAAATAGTTTTGAATTGTTGGACACACATCCTTAGACAACCTCACTGTCAGTCCAGAAAACTTCAGGGATGGCACCAAACTTTAAATTCTTCTTGAGAGAGGAACTGATTTTCACAGATAGTAGGGCAACGGTAAGCTCTAGTCTGGGAACAGTCATGGGTTTTGAAGGCGTTACTCTAGACTTAGCCATTACTAAAGCGCAGTGTATCTTGCCACGACTTTTTATCATTCTTAGGTAGCATTGACCATATCCAGAGGTACTTGCATCTGAGAAATTGTGCAACTTGATTGATTCAGCTTCTCCAAAATCGATTGGCTTATAGCAGCGTGATACCTTGAGTTGAGTTTGCAAGAGCTCCAAGCTCTTCTCTCTATTTCGTCCATTGCATTCATATAGGATCGGGTACTGGATCATCCCAATATGCACTGTCTTTGCAAATTCCTCTTAAAATTCTCTTGCCCTGAAGCAGGAATGGTGCTATTAAACCGAGGGGATCATATACTGAGCTGATGGTGGACAGGATTCTGCACCTGGCTAGAGGTCAGTCCTTAAACTCCGCCCTGAAGTGTAATCCATCCAACTCTACAAACCACTGTACTCCCAAGGCTCGTTCAATGGGTAGCAGGTCTTTTGTCATAGCCAGTTCCTTGATTTCTTTCACAAGTTGTTCAACTGGAATGGCCTCCATCGCTTCTCTCTGATTTGAGATAAACTTGAGAAATTTGAAGCCCCCTTTCATGCAAAGGGCCTTAGTGCTTTCTATTAAGTTGATGGCTTCTTTTACTGATAAAACAGACTTCAGGCATCATCTACGTAGAAGTCATGACATACAAATTCTGCAGCTTCATTACCACATTCTTCTTCAAAATCATCTGCTGTCGTCTTTAGAGCAAAGTTGGAGCATCCAGGAGATGACACTGCCCTAAACAGATGTACTGTCATAGTGTATTCGACTAATTGCCCTTCAACGTCGCCTTCCTCCCACCACAGGAACCTCAGAAGGTTTCTGTATTGTCATTCACGTTCACTTGATGGAACATTCCCTCGATATCACAGATGAAGGCCATGGGCTCCTTCAGAATCAGCAAAGCACTCCCGTCAAGCTGTTTGTGTGATCTAGTCCTTGCAACAAATGTTTGTTTAGAGACTCTCCTTTGTATTCAGCACTTCCGTCAAAAAACCACTCTAGTCTTGCCTGGTTTCTTTCGATGATAAACTCTGTGATGGGGAATGTACCATATGCAGCCATTATCAAGGGACAATTCTTCGGACGGAACACGTTGTGCGTAGCCCTTCTCAATGTCTTCACTCATAAATCCTTGATAATTCTTCCGATATGTGGCGGTGTGCTTAAGTCTTCCTTTTAGTTTCTTGATTCTACTAAGGGCCCAGCAAAGATGCAACGGTCCTGATGGTAAGGTCGAAGGAGGGTAAGGTGATGTCCTGACGGTTGAGAGAGTGTGGACTCGACGACACCCACCACCTCAGGTCCTCCACAGATGGTGGAGACAAACATATCTGACACCTGGGTTGCCACCCAGACCGGTGGAGTAGCAGAGCCTGCTGGCATTGCAGGGCTCTGTAATGTAAAGGTGCTACTCACAGACCTGTCCATGCCGCATGGCTCATGCAGCCCAGCAGGCTTGACAGCTCTCCCAGAGATGTTGACTGAGACTCTAGCATCGTCTGGCATGCTTCTAGTATCCGATCGATCTGCTCGTCTGGCAGGGAATTCGACATGCAGGTCATGTCCAACACTGCACCCAGAAAGACTAAGCAATGGGTGGGTTCTGGCGAGCATTTCTCAAGTTTCACTATAAATTAGAGGCCAGACAAAAGCCTCCTCACATAATTGAAGATCTCAGTCAATTGGTCCTTCTGATGGTGAATCAGCAGAAGGTCATACAAGTAAATTACTGTTTGTATTCCCTCTGAGCACAGTCTTGCTATGATGGGATGGAGGATTCTGGTGAAGAAGCAGGGAGCCAGTGAAAGGCTGAAAGGAAGGCAACAAAAGTCGTGTTCTTCCCTCGTGGTAGAACCAAAGATATTTCCTTGACTCTGGATGAATCGGAACAGCATTATAAGCGTCCTTGAGATCGAGTTTCATCATGAAATCGCCCCTGCGGAGAAGAGAGCAAGTGGTGTGGAGCACCTCCATTTTAACTTCTCCTTGGGAAGGAATCTGTTCGGCACTTTCAAGTTGATCACTGGGCGGAACTCCCCTTTCCCCGGCCCCTTCTCCATAAGGAAGAGAGTCGAAATGAACTGCTCCGGGCAGGGATCCACCACAGAAATGGCACCCCTGGAAACGAGAGACTGAGTTGACTCCTTCATTAGCTCCCTCGGCCGCCCTTGCCGGGCTACTGTTGGTCGA